ATGCATGACCATGTGCACTTGATGTGAATGTCACCTCCTCCTCTGACCTAAATGCATGGATATAAATACTTTTTTATATTAATGAAAAGCAGAATATAAAGTACTCTCTATGCAACAGAGAGTAAACTGCCACTGTGATCCCCTCACCCTGAAAACCATCAAACGCTTTACTCTGACAGTTCATACTCCGACTGCAGCAAGAGGACATTCAGGTCGAGAAATCACAGCGGCTGCTTCATCTCCGCTGCGTGTCCGAGCGGCAATGAGAACCAAGAAGAACACAGGCTGTAGAACAGAGAGATGCAGAGCAGCAGAAAGGGAGATTTCATCTCCTCTCTGCCTGTCTACAAATCTGCTGAATGTAGGTCAGGCAGACCCAGTCAGTCTCAAAGCCTGAGAGAAGGAGATTGCTGCCCGTGCGTGCACATCACATGAATAAAGCATGCGTCTTTGTTGTAATATGTGCTTATTTGTCCTTGTGTGCTGTATGTGCATTTCTGCACTCATATGGATGTGCAGTGTGTAGCTAGATGATGTACAAAACAACGCAGTGAGGTTTCATTGCAGTGTGTGTGTGTGTGTGTGTGTCAGAGCATTTGTTTGGAGTGTGGTCACTTGCTTTGATAGATAAAGAGGTCCAGTAAAGGCCAGGACCACTTCCCTGCTTGTCTCTAAGGAATAGACTGTGAGGGAATCACACTTAAACACACACTTGTAGGATTCTTGGTTTAGTCTGGTAGTCCTTTATTTTGTAAGAAAAGTGAACAATAAACATGTTCATCCATAAATGTTTGTGCGTGTGGCTGTGTGGGGTTTTTGTGTGTATTCGAAGGACAGTTCCTCCTGTCTGTCACTGTCCTTGGTGCTGAAACATACAGCCCAGAGAGAACCTGAGCAGCATGACTGGAATAGCATAAACAACTCATACGGGACACGTTGTGCCTCTGTGCTTTTTGTCTAGTGTGAACTCCATTTGTCAATTTATGTTTCTATTTTTCTTTTTGTTCTTTTATTCTATCACCGCCCCCATTTTTTGTGACACACACACAAATACACACACATCAGAATGTAGGCTGTGTCCTGATGAAGAGTCAGAGAGCTGTGATTTGTCATCAGCCTCCACATGAAGACCTTCATCAGAGGACAGACCCATCACTTACACTCTGATTATAAAGACCAAGGGGCCAGGGATGTGCATGCTTATGTGTTCTCGTATTTTATGAGCTGGAAGCAGTGTTGTGCATCAGCGAACGCTCTTATTAACTGTGAACTTTGAACTGAACAAGGCTGTTTTTAACTCATGAACTTGAACTGAGTGTCATTTACTTTAGAGACATGAAACAGGATATTTGTGAAAGGGCTTAATGGCTGATTTCAATTTAAGGATTTTTAGAATAAACTGTTAATTCATGCAGATGATACACACACACACACACGCACGCACGCACGCACGCACGCACACACACACACACACACACACACACACACACACACACACACACATATATATATATATATATATATATATATATATATATATATAAACTCTTAAAGAACAGGATTTTGATCCTTGTTGAGTGTTTACTGTTAGGCCAAGCAGTGAAAGACATGATAAAAAGCACGTTTTCTTCATGTCTGTAAAAATAATGTCTGTTGTTATTTAGGTATTAATGTTCAGGAATAGTGGCAAGGATGAAGTAGACTTCAGGAAAACTTCACACTTTCTCTCTAATTACTGTTCATGTTGTCAAAAACTCACTCCAATTTTAGTTTAGGTGAATGAAGGTTTTGTACGTAATGTTGGGCTTAATTCAAACTGGATTTTATAAAAGAAGAGCAACAAAATACTCTCAAAAATATATACTTAAATGTCAAAGTTCATGCTTAATTATCTAGGTAAAAAAATCCAACATTATCTTCGTCCTCTGGATGTTTTTTTTTTTGTTGAAACGTTTCGTCCTTCATCCAAAGGACTCTAACCACCTGAGAACCATTGAACTGGTTGGCCCACTATGTGAGTGTGCTGCTTGTGGGACTGAGTTTGTTGCGGCTCCTCGGACTGATGAAGTCCTTTGGATGAAGGACAAAATGTTTCAACAAAAAAAGAAACCATCCAGATGACTTGGCTTAACTTTGTTGGATTTGCTTGAATGTTTCACTTTTAGTTTGCAGTTAAATAATTTGTTGCCTCATAACATCATAATCCAACAAAATTAAAGGTTGAGCTGAATGCATTTCACCCACAGTTGCTAAAACAATCTTATGCTGAGAAACGATGATATTGTAAAGACAAAGTCCTCTATAACTGCATCCATATATCTCCTTTATGGCCTTCCTCTTTTGTTTTTTCCTGGCAGCTGTATTTCAAAATCCTGCTATCAATATACCCATTGTCCCTCCTCTGGACATGTCCAAACCATCTCATTCTGTCCTCTCTAACTTTATCTCCCAGTTGTTCAACCTGTGCTGTACCTCTGATGATCTCATTCCTAATCTTATTCATCCTTGTCACTCTTAAGGAGAACCTCATCATCTTCATGTCTGCCACTTCTAGTTCTTTCTCCAGTCTTTTTGTCAATACCACTGTCTCCAGACCACACAACATAACTGGTCTCACCACTGTCTTGTAAACTTTTCCTTTGACCATCCAGATATAAATGGAGCACTACTGTTTGCGAACACTTAGCATGATAAAAATGGCTACAAGTTGTAGAATTAATTTTCATACCGCATTTGTTTGACGTTGTACAGCTGTAAACTTCTGTGATAAATCCACAATGACAAATATTATTCTTTAGTATGCGATGAAATATGTAGTAACAAAGCTTGGAAAAGCTAGAAGCTAAGGTTGCTTGTAGCTACTTACAGTAGCTTCTTTGCAGATCAGCGCCAAAACTCCAGAAGACGCTGATTGGCTGGAATGAAAGTTCTCCTGTGATTTCATTGGTTGATTTTTTTTTTTTTTTTAGCTCTTCGTAAACTTCCGGTGTCACTACACAAATCACGTGACAGGTCTCTTTTGATCGGGGCGGGGGTGGGGGTTCTTCCTTCTCTCTGCACACATTTCAGACAGGTTATAGAGACCACTACGCTCGGGCTGACAGTTTATTATAAAGCGGTGGATAACCAGATATTTTGCTTGGGCATTTGCCCAGTTGCCTATATGGTTAATCCAGCCTTGTGGCCAATTCACAACTGCACAGCACAGATTTTCTTGTGCACAGAGAATGTGTGAGCAGTGCGCGATTGCACAGGCACACGGCTTAGTGGGAACATTGTAACCATTTTAAATTGGGTTGACTTCAAGAGTTTATCATCAAAAGATTTCTCTTTGTGGGTTTCATTCAAATCCATCTGGCTGTCCATGAAACTGTGCTAACAGACAGACATGGTTGACACCAAAAACTAATGACACAGCTGTTGTGTAGAGCTTGGAGCATGTGTTGTGAATAACTCTCAGCTACCACCACATCGAGCACACTAGTAGTATCTGTTTCACAACAGATTATATGAAGAATTGGAAATGACCCTCTTGCCAAACAAGTCAGCAAGTTTAATTTGGAATTTGACCTTATTAGGATTAGGTATGTGGGCTCTCAAACTAAGAGTGATGGTGTGATTTAGCTAAATTAAACAACTTAATTTCGAAGACACGGGCATATGACGCAAAAAGAGCGTGAACAAGTGCATTTGTAAACAGTGAACTATGAACCTAAAGTTCACTTCACATGAAACATAAATGAATTGTTTCACATTATTATTACCCTCCACGTCACTGGTTTATTTACTTAGACTCGAAATAACCTGCATTAGCTTTTGTCAAATCCAAATCAGAAGCATAGGAATGTTTCATGCCTTTTATCTCAAGTTATACCTTTTTGTACATGAAGTAGCACCTACCAGCTACCAAATTCACTTTACCTTTGTTCTATTGCATTTTTTCCCTTTATGAAAATGCTTTCAGGGTATTCCGGTGGCTGTAATCAAATACAAGCCAGCCTTTGATGCATTTTTCATGAAACAAAAGACAGCAGGGCTGCCGTAGTTAAATAAAAATATAGCATGAGTGTCCCATTGTCTCACATTAGGGTTTCCTGTTAATAGCCATTTTGGAAGTTGTTTTCTCTGTCCCCTAACAACCCGCTCACACTGTTTTTATGCCTATTATGTGCACTACAAAGGAAGTTTACCCCAAAAAATTGTGGAAAGCAGAGGTGTGTGGTTTGATGAAGGGTTGAAAAAGAACCCCCGCTGGTTGAAAGTAAAGTCCGCGTGTGCACGTAAGCACCACCACTCCTTTTACATAACAGATGATTGAGCTCAGCCTGTGCTTGTGTTTGTCCTGAGGGACCGGCTTTTGTTTTGATTGAAGCTGCTTTGAGATGAGTATGACTGTGGCGCGTGCATGTTATCGTCCGTCTGGCGAGCTCCCTATGGGGCCCCTCCTTCTTTGTGATTCTCCCTGTACACCATCAACACCTCATCTGTTCACTGCTGTACATTTTCTCAATTAGCAGCAGCGAATGGAAAGAAACAGGCATGCTTAGTGCTCACACCTCCATCACTCGTGCCTTTATCTCTCTCTGTGTCTGAGGTTATTTGATTTTAACAGACATCGACCCCTTTTTTCACTCCAGCTCTCCCTCCTCTTCGCTCCTTCAGCTCAGCGAAGGATAGAAAGCTGTGAGGAGAGAAATCATGGAGGCAGGCACGGATCATTAGCTATATTTGTCCCCACATCCTGCTGCAGATGATAGATCTAGCTAATTACCCCATGTTGCCAAGCCTATCGCACACGACACGCGGCCGTCGTTATGGCGGAAATCAGCGTTCGCTTTGCTGCGTGCCGCATAGCTGATGCTATATGACTATTCATGAGCCTGGAGTCAAAGGAGAGGAGGAAATTTCAGATCCTGTCATGGCTGTGCGTGAATGTGATTGTTCTGGAAATGATTTTAATGATGCATGCTCTCCGTCTTCTTCCTCCCCATGTAGAAAATGATTTTGGAGGAGATGTGGTGAGTCGTTCCTCTCCAACTGAACATTGGTGCACCACGGTGGCAGAAGAAGTCGGGACCAAAGAGCTGTCCGAAGCCCAAAACGTTTCAGGTAGAGACTCCTGCCAGAACACCAGATCCAGCTTGCTTTCCACTGTTCAGACACAATCCTGATTCAGTTTCGAATTATTTGTCCTCCCCATATTTTTTCCTCAAAACATATGAACCAACTGTACTGCTGTGCTTGAAAAATAGTCCATGCATTTGTTACAACCCAGCTGGACTACCGTACCTGCTTTATGATGGGGTCAGTCAGATCACCCCTTCACATCTCCAGCTCGTCCAAAATGCTGCAACTCGGCTATTAACAGGAAGAGCACATTTCACCAGTTTTGTCCTCCCTTCACTGGCTCCTTGTGTGTGTCAGGATTGATTTTACAATTCTCCTGTTGACATTTAAGTTTATTAATGGCCTTGCACCCTCATACCTCTCTGACCTACTTCAACCTTATATTCCTTCTTGGGCACTGAGATCATCTGACAAGCTTCGTTTGGTTGTACCCAGAACCAGGCTGAAGCTCAGAAGAGATCAGGCTTTTTCATTCATCAGCCCTAAACTTTAGAACAATCTACCCCTCAACATTAGACAGGCCACTTCACTCTGCTTTTAAATCCCTCCTAAAAACACTCGTATTCACTGACGTTTAACACATTTGATTTTTTTATTTTTTTTTTGTCATTATGTTTTTATTTTGATGCTTTTAATTATATCTTGTTATTATTATCTTTCTTTAATTTACTGCTGGGTGGGAGATCTTGACCACCCTCTACACTGCTTCTTCAACCTGCTGCCATTAGGGCGGAGACTGCGTAGCCTCAGTTCTAGGACCAGCAGACTGTGGAACAGCTCCGTCCATCAGGCCGTGAGGATGCTGAACTCTCTGCCTGCCCCCCCTCAGCCCCCTCTCCCACTTCTGCCACCCTGCACACACTAACTCAGCTTCCTGACACCCCCCCCTCACCCCCCCCCTTCAAAACTGCTCTGGGACATTTATTTAGTTTTATGAATAGTTCATGAATCGGTCACTTTAACAGCCTACAAGCTAACTCTACTGTTTATTGCATTATATTTTGCACTACTGTTATGATCAACTCGTCCTGTTTATTCTTTATTCTGGTAATTCTGGTATTGTCATTTCCACTTAATCACCTCATCAGTACATAACTGTGACTCTATATAGAACCGGTATGCACACCTTCACTTTACTAAGTTTCTCAGGTTTATACTTTATATTGCACTATTGTTTACTCTGGCCTTGCACATCCATTATCTACCTCCCATCATGTTATTGTCTTCAGTCAGCGTCCCTTTGTCTCCTGTTAGTCACTTTTGAGCACGTTGCATCAGAGGTCCTGCTGCTGTTCACTTTTATATCTTTTATATTTTTTATATTTTTTATATAACTAGTTGTGTTAGTTTATTTTTGCTAATGTTGTTGTTTGCTGCAATTTGAGTAGGAGTGTAACGCAATTTCAACTTCTATGTATGTCCTGTACATATGCAGAATTGACAATAAAAATCAATCAATCAATCAATCAATCAATCAATCAATCAATTAATTTACTGCCTTGATCTTATTGTTAAGCATTTTGGTAGCAGCTGCTATTTTAAATGTGCTTAATAAATAAATTTGACTTGACTGTGTGTTGCAGCCAGGTCAACAACATGGACTGGTTGGGAAAGGCTCAGTTGGTAAACATACATATGTGGGAACCTGTGAACGTAAAACCTTAAATTTTGGGAACATTTCAACAAATTGCTTATCTTAGAAAAGATTTTAGGATAATCCACATTAGTTACCTCAACAGAACAAAATATTTTACTGTCACCTGCAACAATTCAGCTTTTAAAGAGTCAATAATGCTTTATTCAAAATGTATTTTCAGCTTATTGCTGCTGCATAAACATCTGTAAATGAAGATTTAGAAATAACTACACAGAAATCTTAGACATTGCCGACATTGCTTTAAATCCTTTCTTGCACCGGCTCCTCATTGTCCCCAGACTGGCTGATAAATTGCTTTAAGTGTGGTCAAGTCAAAACTTTTTTCACTCTAACCCTTTTATTAAGCCCTGCACAGCTGCTGTCAACCAGCAGATCCATTCTCCATCCTAGTTGGGAGTCACTCTCAGATTTTAGCTCTTCCATCATCCTCACCCTTTTCCTTGCTCAGCACCCGTTCAGATGCTATCGCCTTCAGCTCTTTACGCTAATTCACACACACTTAGCCTTGGTTTGGCACACGTGTTTACTGTCACTGCATGATGCATGACGTAAATACCTATTTGCAGTGAAATTCAATAATGCCGGTGCAGTTCTGGTGGCTCCCTGCTGCTCCTCCGTGCAGAGGAGCGACATGAGAACTTGTGTGGTGGTGTGTGAGCGGTAGAGGGTGGAGTTGTTCGCCATATGCCTGAAACACATTCCCCTAAAACTTCAAGGTGAAAACAAAGGGAAGTGATAATGATGTGAATTGTGACAGATGCCTGAGTGCCCCCACCACAAACCCACCCCCATTAGCTGTACACAAAACGCCTTTGCTATGCATCGGTGCATATTACGATAATTACTGCATTTCTTATCATGTTTTATTTATTACATTATTTTCTATGAAATAGCAGAGAAATGCTTGTTTTTAGTTTGACTGAGGCCATTCTGGAACAATGATGGAAACATGCTAATAACAGGCAAATCCACTTTCATTTCCAAGGCAGCAAATTTACATTTTATTTTGTACTGATGCGATCAATACAAACACATATGACATCTGGACAGCTGTTGGTTCATGGACTCTGAATGGAGTTCATTTTTTGGAGAAGACTTGTGTTTTCAAAGAAGACTCGTGTCACTATGTGAAAATTCATCTTCAAAAACTATTTTTTTACTTAAAGGGATGAAGACTATTTAAAATGAGACATACTGTATTCTTTCACCCACGGTTCGCATTTTCTGAAATTAAATATTCGTCACAAAATATAGACCGCTTCTTTTTTTCTAAATGGATTACAATTTATGGATTTAAATCACGAAACATGTGCAGAAATTCTTTTGCTGAGACATTTCATCCTACATTCAAGTCTGAGGAGACAAACAAGCTGGAGTCCCACAAGCACCAACACCCATAGTGGAAATGGGAGTGACAAGGAAGAGGGCAGGCCCCAGAAACCATCTTATCACTAGCAAACTGTTATTTATTTATTTATTTATTTATTTTTCCACTATGGGAGTTGGTTCTTGTGGGACTCCAGTTTATTTGTGTCTCCTCGGACTGAAGAAGTCCCTTGGATGAAGTATGAAATGTCTCAGCAAAAAAAAAGAAACCGTACAGATGACCTGACTGGACATTGTTGGATTTACACCTGGATTATTGAGCATGAACTTTGGCAACTTGTAGATGATTCCAGTGCAATCAATTTGATGTAAGCACTAAAATATTGAGGCTGAGTTGCATCGCCAATATAAAAAGTACACAGTTAATTCTTTTTGACATTATTTTCAAGAGTATTTTGATCTTTATAAAAAAAATAAATTAAAAAAAACATCACTGATAAAAATATATGGAAAATAAATTAAAAATAAATAAAGCAAGATTATAATGAACAACTTTGGAGACCGTTTTAAACTAATCAAATATAATCAGTAATTTGAATGAGCAAGTTTTGTTAAATTGGTCCATTTTCTGAGTTTATATTATCACAGATGTTTGTTCATCTGCCCACCTCTTGGAGCTATAGGATCATCAACATGACTGTTTATTCATCAGGGCATATAATGCCATTGATCTGGGGTCTAATTGAGATACAGACGGAGAAGGAGTGGGCCTCCGACTAATCCTCAATAAGCAGGCTAACCTTCATTACAGCCGTGACATTTTCCCATGGGGCCCTAAGAGACAGAAAAAGGCCAGACAGAGTATGAAGGGTTCTTTGTCAAGCTTCCTGAGTCCAAGTCTGGTAAGGACTACAACGTTTCGCTGCAGTCATTGCTGTTGATTCCCATTTTGATGGATTTGTTTTTGACAGCCTCATGCATGGAAACTGCATATCAGCACATTTAAATTACAATTTCATCAACAGCAGATGCTTTTTTGTAATAAATGAAATATTCTGCTGGCAGGTTTACATTTTCTTCTCATGTTTTTCACTTACCTTTCATTTCTTTTTAATGTATTCTAGTTAGAGCAGTGCTATATGCATATTGGAACGGGTTAAACACATTTGTTGCATCATGGTTGCACTGGGTTAAAAAAACAACTGCAGCATCTTCAAATTTGACTGGCTCAAGCCAGGTTCCCCTTTTTTATTCAGGATGAGGTAGTTTCCTTGGAAAATTCATTTCTTTGAAGGATGAACAGGTGAATGTTGGCACCATGACATCAGCCACTGGCATCTCGCCTCACCAAGAAGCCTTGAGATCAGGAGCAGAGCATTTGGTTTAATTAAAATTTGTCTAGTTTTTATTGATTTTACCGTATTGCAACCTGATGCAAGTCTCGCAATGCTCTGATCCCGTGGATTCCTAGTGTAATTGTGTGTTTTACTTGAAATTACATGAAAGCTCACAGCAATGAGGAGACAATGATTTGACAAAGTACAATGAATATTTCAGGCCATACGTACAAATACACACAGAGTGAAATCTTCAAACTTTAGGATCAGGCGTGATGATTTCGAAACAAGCCTAGGTGTGACAAAAGAGCACAAACGCTAAAGTAAACTGATGCTACAAAATAAAATGAAGAAAGAGACATTTAAAAAAAAAAAAAAGAAATTCACAAATTTACATGTCCCATCAATTTTTTATACTTTGTATTTATTATATTATATTTTATATTTATTTATTTGTTTATTTGTTTATATGCGGGGGGGGGGGGGGGGTGTATATAAAAAGGGTTGATGATGTAGTGTCTGTGTACAGATCCGACAATCTGCAAATAAACCTAATAAATATAAAAAAATCTTGATCTGCAACTTCAATTTTCTTGTACTTTGAACTGATTTACATACATTAAAAAAGCACAATCCCACTACTTTTTTTTTTTATATAGACTGTCAAGGTCATCGTTGCTAAAACAAAAAAGGATTACATTTACTTAGATTCTGCACAAAGATTACCTGTAAATACCTGGAACAGATCGGTTATTACTGCACAAATTGTTCATGTTTCTTTTTACTTTTTTGTATTTTTCCAGCAAAGACGGATTTCGTTAACGTTGCCATAGAAACCGAAGGGACTTTACATTTTGTGTATTTATAGTTAATTTAGTAATTTCTCCACTGCTTCACAATCTTATGCGGCTGCAAAGTATTCTCATCATCGCCAAAATCCTGTAGGTTGCTCCGTCTTTACTACACCAGAATGATTTACAAGGTATCTTCGCGTTTCATCATTTTATTTTTCTCCAGTTGAAACATTTATGGGCATTCATAAAAAAACACACCATTAAGACTGAGGGGCTCCACAGTAAAGTAAGTATGGCGTTAATAAATCCTGCTAAATAAAACGAGACATTCAAACATGCTCCCCGTCATGGTCCAAACCTGGTGAGCATGAAAATTTAGAGGCATTTGGAAAAAATAGAAAAATGTTCAAATATCACAATTTATTATTTGTTGTTGAGATAATAAACCTACGTCTAGAACTATGTGACAGTTTAATATTCATAAAAGAAGGGAGGCAGGGAAATGCTTTCTGTGGAAAGAAAAAAAAACATGTCAAACTCAAGGCCTGAGGGGCCAGATCAGGCCTTTGTAAACATCTTTTCTGGCCCCCAAGATGATATTTTCAATGTAAATATTGTTGTCGCCTCTCGTGCTCACAAACCTAGCATATTTTATTTAGCGTAGACTTTTCATGATGACATTGAAGCCAAGAAAAAGTGTTAGAACTTTTTAGTAAGCTTTTATTTTGATGTGGAAAGAACAACGGAGAACGGCAAATGAACCTGCAGGAGAAAGGTGTCTGGTATATGACTCAGGTTTGTGTATTGATTGAAACTGGCTCTGGGATTGAAACAAGTTTTAAATTTTGTCCCCTGTTTGTAACCGAGTTTGACAATGCTGGTAGATGATCTACTTGAGGCCATGGAAAGTAGGGGGTTGAGGGTGCTACAGTAACCCTCATGGATGCCAGGACAAAAACCACAAAGTTTCTTTAGGATAGTCCCTTTTTCAGGGGTTGCCACAGTAATTGAACTCGCATGAGAGATTTGAAAACTGTTTCACGCCGGATGCACTTCCTGACCCAACCTGGGCTTGAACCAGGTTGTATCCCATGATTACAAGGCTGTGGTAGCTAGATGACGGGAAATAATGTTTTTTCTTTTGGCTTCTCCCTTCTTTAGGGGTCACCACAGCGAACTAAGTCGCACAAAGGATTGACAAATATTTCTACGTCGAATGCCCTTCCTGATGCAACCACAGACCACTGAGCTACCACAGCCTTCTGTGTGGAGTAGAGAGCTGCTATCTAGGGTGCCCAGGGGAGCAGATGGTGGGGGTTAAGGTCCTTGCTCAAGGGCCCAGAGTGGAGCAAATGAGGGTGGAGGGGTGCTTCATCTATCCCACTCACATTTTGATGTTGTCGGTCGAGGGAGTTGAACCAGCGATCTTCCAATCACAAGCCCACCTTCTCTAACCTCTGTGACACTACTTCCTTAATACCATGTAAAAAAAAAAAGTTGTTAGAGTACATAAATAATGAAGAAAAAACAAAACACTAGTGTTATTTTGTACGTTCAAAAAGTGTTTATACATTTATAATAATGAACTTTCTGTGAGAGAAACTCAGTTTAGGTTTTGGGTTGTACTTTTTTTTCTTCTTTACAGGTTTTTATCTGGTGATGACTCTACATCTGAATGTGTATTTGAAGGGTTGGATAGTTGGACTAAAAGCACAGATTAAAAAAAGTGTAAAAAAGGAATATATGTGTTTTAAACTTATATTCACCCAAAACATTTTTCATTGGATTTAATGGTAAACATCTTGTAGTCAATCCCGAAACTGTTTTTGTTCACGAGTTTCAGCTAAATAAGAATTTCTGAAATTTAAGTTGTTTTAATTATTCTTCTGAGCAATCTATATTACCTTTATAGTTTTATTCATCATGATGTACAAACTATTTTAAAGATTGACAAGGCCACTGTGATTTCACTCAAGTTCAAGTTTTTATTGTCATTCGCATCACATGTGGTACATGAGGTGGAATGAAATTGTGTATGCAAGTTCCCAGTTATAGCCAACAACAGCAAAAATATAAAGTGTATAAAGAAACAGTAAATAAGGATCTGACATATCAACTAAGAAATGCGCTGAACACTAATAGTGCAAAACAATACGCTGAACAGCAGCAGCACAAACATGAATCTGTGAGTAGATGAGTATGAATGAATACAGCAACATGAAATGATCAACAGCATGAGATCAGCAGCATGGATAATCAGCAGCACATATCAACAATTGAAGTGGCAATACCGTGATTTTTTTTTGTCACAGTGATTATCCTGGTTAGAGATTCATGAGTCTAACAGCCTCAGGGTAGAAGCTGTTCCTCAGTCTAGTGGTTCTACACTTAATTCTCCTCAACCTCCTGCCTGAGGGGAGCGGGGCAAAAAGTGTGTGTGCTGGGTGAGTGGGGTCCTTCATGATGCAGGTGGCCCTCTTCCTGCAGCTGGAGGTGTAGACGTCTGTGATGATGGGGAGCCTGACTCCAACAGTCTTCTGTGCAGCCTTCACCACTCTCTGGAAAGCTTTTCTTTCTGCAGCTGTGCAGCCTCCATGCCACACGTTGATGCTGGAGCACAGGGTGCTCTCCACTGCACACCTGTAGAAGGAGGTGAGGACTGAGCTTCTCAGTCCAGCTCGCCTCATCCACCTGAGGAAGTAGAGTCTCTGATGAGCTTTTGTGATCAAACTGGTGGTGGTGTTGCCTCAGCTGAGGTTGTCATTCAGGGTGTGCACCCAAATGTGCTCAACAGTTAAATTTTTGTGAAGCTTCTTAAACTAGATTTAGTCCATATTTTGAAAGGTCACTGTTAGTTAATGCGAAACATCCAGCGCATTCTTCAAAATTCAAAAGAAAAACACACGTGTTTGCACACTCAGTTTAGCACAAAGGTCTCAAAAAATGGGAAAGAGATGGGTTAGAGGCAAAGTAGCCGACCCAGGATCCAAAAGTCCCAGGCTCAATCCCCAGCCATTCCCACATGTTGACTGCAAGAAGCCCCACCAGTTACAAATGTAATACCTAATGAATTGTAAATAAACTGCATCAAATTGGATTGTATATGTTTGGATTTGAGCTGGACCTGCTTATGTATTTATTTTCTGTATGATGCACAAAAATTACATTGTTCTAATCTGGCACTATTTAAATAAACTAAGCTGCATTATATCAGTGCTTCTCAATTCAAATATTATTACTTTATTTAATTTACATGACTATAAAAAGTTAAATTCTTTGACAACATGGCTCATAATGCTATATTCTGAATAAAGTAAATTACTCCGCTGAAAGTGTATTCCCTTTTCATCAGCGCACAACAACAGAGTCAAAACAAGCTGGACATTTTTGTGGTTTTCAAGTGAAGGAACCTTAAAACTTGCCTCATTCCTACAGATTTCCATGCATTCCCGTTGGCTCCATGTCAAGCCAGTCACTTATTCAACTTCTAGAAGTCCAGTTTAGACAACAAACTTTACCTCTCCACACCCACTTCCTTCAGCTTCTCCATTGGGACTCTGAGGAACTCCCAATTCAGCTCATGAAATCTCTCTGGTACGTCCCAGATCTGCCATGAGTCCTCCTCCCTGTCTGCCTCCGCAGGGAGGCCAGAGGTCTCATTAAAAAGGAAGGCCAACATGTTGATCCGCAGGAGTGAAGCTATCTAAAGACTTCATTTGTGGAAACAAGTTAAGATGTTGATATGCTAACAAAGAGGTATCATTGATTACACTCTTGCACTAAAAACTTCAGATAAGGGTAATTCAATGTATAGTTTTAAAATCAAGTCGATCATTTCCCCAAATGCTGCTCATAAATCATCTGATGGAAACTTTAGAAACATCAGGTGTGAGCTGAAATGTCTGACTTGAGGGGAAAGTATTCTAACTCTGAGAGAACGTGCATCCAAATTAAAGATAATTTTGCAGCACTGCCTGTTGTGTGTAACAGCTTGTTTGTGCCGTCTCTGCAGATGGAGGTGGATGCAGACGATAAGCGCCATCGCACACGCTCCAAAGGTATCTGCACAGATACACACAAAAACACACCTCCATTCAGGGTGACCTTCACTCCCTAACACAAACGCGTACATACAGCGTGCACACTCATCGCTGCATGGATCTGCAGTCCTTTCATGCTTTATATAAATCTTACAAGTAAAGAAATCAAATATTTAGGAGCTTTGTTCATAATGAAACTGGGTGACATGACAACACACGAGTGCAAATGGGTTTTACAGAACAATCTTTTGTTTGAGTTCTAGTATTTTTTATTAAAGAAAAGCGTTTCTCATGTTACGTTTTCACATGAAACTAAAATGTCTGACAAGCTTCAAACATCTGAAGCAAGGTGCACTTCAGAGGAAGCTGCTGATTCATATTTTATCACAACTAAATTTGGATATCAAACATCTTTGACCAAACGAGAAAGAAGGTGTGATCTTTGTTCTTACATCTTGCGGGTCAGACACTTCGTCAGTCACAGATGAAGAAGATGATAAAAGTGTTGACTGGAGGCACACGCTTCCTTTGCAGGCGCAATTTGTGTTGTTTCAAAGACGAGACTAAAGATGTATCAGTAAAGAATTCTTTTCATATTAGTCTGACAATATTGTTCCAGTAAACACACAAAAAAATACAATTAAAACAGAAAAAGATAACATTTTTATTTGAACTTTGCTTTTTTTAGATGCAGTGGATGCTTTAGAACCAATTTGAGGTTTTTAATTATTGTAAAACAATACAATCTTATTATGATATTATTCCAGAATAAATATACAGTAAGTCATGTTATTCTTTAAAATTTGTCCTAATGTTGAATTATTTTTACAACAATCCAAAGTAAGCTTTTTTTTTAAAATAAATCTATAACATAAACCAGGGGTTCTCAAAATGTTGGGGTTCAAGGACGCCTTACAGGGGAGAAAAAGTTTCAGGAACCCCTCATGAACCTCATGTTTATTAAATTATTTTCTTCAATTTGGCTCTTTAATGCAATGGACATATCTGTGTAACATAAATACTTAAAATCTGTTCTTTAGTATTGTTAACACAATTTTTAAACATGGGGTACTTTTCATTCAAGGCACACTTAATTAACAACATTTTTAATTTCAACTTCCAAAAAGTACAGTCTTGAGAAAATTATCAGTATATATATATATATATATATATATATATATATATATATATATATA